GGACTCAGAAAGGCTAGGGGACAATCACAAGTGGCCAAGTCCTCTAGCCGTAGGCTAAGAATAGTCAAGTAAGACCGGGGCATTCGGCCTTAAACAGCCTTCTTAGATACAAGTTTGTTCACAATCTTCCAGGGTGTTCGTGTGCATTGCTGGGCTTTTAAGAGTCTACACAAATCTTTAAGACATAACATATGACACTGACCAATGGAACAGAATCGAGAGCTCAGAAATTAACCCACATGTATATGGGCAAATAATTTTTTACAAAGGAGCCAAAAACACACAATAGAGAAAAGAAAGCCTCTCAATAAATGATGCTGGGAAAATTGGAAAGCCACATGCAAATGAATGAAACTAGATTACAGTTTGTCCCATGTACAAAAATTAATTCAAAAGGAATAAAAGACCTAAATATAAGATCAGAAACAATAAATTACATAGGAGAAAACATAGGTACTAATCTTATGCACCTTGGTTGTAGAGAACATTTTATGATTTTGATCCCAAAGGCAAGGGAATTAAAGGCAAAATAAAGGAATGGGACCATATCAAATTAAAAAGCTACTACAAGGCAAAATAAATTGAAAGCAAAACTAAAAGCCCACCAACCAAATGGGAGAAGATATTTGCAAACAACAGCTCCAACAAGATGTTAATATCTAAACTATGTTAAAAAAATACTCATACAGCTCAACACCAATCAAACGAAAAATACAATTGAAAAATGGGCAGAAGACCTGAACAGATACCTCTCCCAAAAATACATAATAAAATATATGTGTTGCCAGACTGGTTTGGCTCAGTGGATAGAGCGTCGGCCTGCGGACTGAAAGGTCCCGGGTTTGATTCCAGTCAAGGGCATGTACCTTGGTTGCGGGCACATCCCCAGTAGGAGGTGTGCAGGAGGCGGCTGGTCAATGTTTCTCTCTCATCGATCTTTCTAACTCTCTATCCCTGTCCCTTCCTCTCTGTAAAAAAAATCAATGAAATATATTTTTTTAAAAAATATATGTGTTCAACTATTTGTAGTAGCTCTAAGCTGGAAACCACCTAAATTTTTCATCAACTGTAGACTGGGTATTTTGTAGTATATTCATACAATGACATATCATACAGAAGCAAGAATGAGAAAATGACAACTACATGCAACAATATGAGTGACTCTCACAAATATATTTTTTAAAAAGAAGACAACAAATGGGCACACATTTGTGTGTTTCCAATTTATTTAAAGTTCAAAAATAAACTAATCTATTGGCTGAAAATTTAAAATAGCAGTTATTTTTGCAAGAACACTTTCCAAATAGATAGTAATAGTTCACATTCTGTCAGCAGTTGATGAAAGCACACTTGTTTTGGTAGAGACATTTTTAAGTGGCATATATGGCAAGAGGGCTTCATATAGAGCAGCGAAACGTGTTGAATTGTGACGTTATTTGGCATTGCAGCCTAAGCATCTAATTACACTTCTGGTAATTGCATCCCCCATTTCCCTTTTGTGAACAACCTAAGTCTAACCTTGCAGAGCACTGAAATACTATTAGAATGATTGCTTTAGGACTAGGCACCCAAACTAATCAGAGCCAAATAGGTACAATGATATTTTGCACAAGCTCCTGGATATAAGATA